GCACGCTCGTGGAGCACGGTAACTTAAACCATTGGTATTCAGAAATGAATTAATGAAGGATTAACCTTGTTGTATTAATAAGTTATCAATGACGTTGCGTTTGAAAAACAATAATTATAAAGAACTATATGATTTTCAATATTATAAACAAAATAATAAAATTATTAGCGCGAACGCGCTTAAATTTAATTTAAAAAAACGAATATTTTTGAAACCAGAGGTTTGAAAGTAACAAACGCGGGGCTGATTTTTTTTTCATGCTTTTCATTCCTTTTTTTCCATTTGTTCGGATGTTTTGTAAAATCAATAAACATGACCTATTCAATAACAGTTTCACATGGCAAACCAGAAATTCATCAGCAACAACATTTTTAATCATTTAACGTAATTTCTCATTCGAAGTTCAAACATCGGATAAAAAGAAATTTGCCTCGACTTAAAAAAAAAAATTTTCACTCTCTCTCTCTCTCGTGTGAGCTTCGAAAATCGGAAGATGGCGTAGTGTAATAAAAGTCTAGACAGTAGCTATAATATATAACATTATATTTATGTTTAATCGAAAAAATATTTTAAGAAGTATAAACTAGTTTTATTTATAAACCATCTCCGGTTGTTCTTCATTCCTCTCACACTCACTCGCACTCTGCTCGCGTGTGTACGCTTGACGCGCACCTATTTTTCGTTCTGCCTCGCATCTCGTTCCTTTTCTCTCTCTCTCTCACATTTGTCTCCTCTCCTCTTCGACGTTGTATAAATATAGATTAAGCGCCTAATATACTAAATAGTATCTATATTTGTCTTTGGGAGGCGTTCACGCGCAATCCCGCGACTCGGGTTTTTCTTCAACATGCATACGTATGTATATAATTCATGCGACTTTACTTTGCTCCTTTGTGCTTCGTTGTGTGCAAAGATACACCATCTGACTCTCGCTCTGATATTCGTGTTAAGGAAAGTAAGTATAAAATAGAGTCGGAGAGATCAGATAAGGCACGAGAGAAATATATTTTATACTGCATGCTACGTGTATAAGACTATATACGAGATTGGTCTCCCGAGTCGCGATAGTGAACTTGTTATTTTTTTTTTTTTTTTTTTTTTTATGTAAAAATGTTTAGACTCCCGTCACTTTGACATGAAATAATTACACTTGAATTCAAGTATCGATATATTACGGTGGTTTGAGCTTCTGGACGAGAAACAGATCCTCCTCCTCTTTGCAATCAATTGTGCCGTGACTGGCGTTAGATAAGCGCGATCGAGAGTAACAGGGGGGAAAAAATTGCATCACTCTATCGTGGATGATATCTCACGTTTTAACATGGATTTTTATCGATTAAAGTACGTTTGGTAAAATCGGTATACATAGACGACAATGAATTTATATACACAGCATAACCGGTATACACGAGCAAAAACTTTCATTACAGTATTATATATACATTGTAATAGTCTTTATACGTATAGAAAGTACTGAGTTATTGGGAAGAAACGCTGAGACAATAAGTTGTAAGAGGACATTTTATTTCGAATAAAATGGAAAAGCTTATTTATAACGCAATTTACACAAAATAAGCTTACAATATATTTATACACAGGATTGTTTATTTTGAAATTCTCTTTTTATACACCACGACGTTTTGATTGATTTACCTCTGTAATATCAATACCTACTTATTTTTATGCGTAAAATCAGATACATGAAATAACAATTATAATATATACGTAACATTGAAATTAAAAAAAAAATAAAACATACTAAACTATACGTTATCACTTATGTACAAACACAATCAATTTTACACGCGCCCGCTAGTCATCATGAATGAAAGTACGTATGGTAAAGACAAGAATGACAAACAGATCGGAAAATAATTATAATTTTCTTTTCCGCTCCTTTCGACTTTACCGATCACGTTGGATGGCAGATTCTTCTTCTTCAAAACGTCCCGTTCACCACGTGGTGACGATATTTTAAATCTCGCACGATCGATGGAGCTTGAAAAAAAAGTGGGGGGAAAAAAGCAAGCCGAGTTCTAAAGCCTCTCCTCTTCGACGTGCGGCGCGATGCTTCTCCTCGACCTGATGCTCGATCTCAGGATCATGCTGCTCCTCAGCGTCTCTCCCCGAATGGACGCTCGCCTCGAGCTGCGTATCGTCGAGGTCCTCCTGAGACTCAGGGTCGGACCCTCGTCGTCGGCCCTCCTAAAGCACACAATCCCCACGTCCAAGTGTCTCATTCCCTCTTTGAAGAATAGAAAAAAAAAAAAAAAAAAAAAAAAAAAAAAAAAAAAAAAAANAAAAAAAAAAAAAAAAAAAAAAAAAAAAAAAAAAAAAAAGAAAACTCACTTCATGAAACAGGGCATGTCCCAGATGCCCTGGTCCCGGCCGAACTCCTCGCCGTCCTGCAGCGTCTGTGGCAGGTCCTGGTCGAGCGTCTCGGGGAGGAAGAGCGCGAGGCCACCCCCAACGACACCCAAGACCCCGAGGATAAAGAGCGGCAGCACCGGCGACACCACCTCAAGGAAGACGACAAAGGGCGCGACTATGCTCGCCACGTAGCCCATTATGTGGATGAGCGCGACTCCCTGCGCCCTGACCACCGTCGGCAGGAGCTCGGCCGCGTACTGCAGCCCGATGTTGTACGATATGTTCACGCAAAACCGGCCCATTATCGCGAGCGTCGCCGCGTATATGTCTGTCGGGAAATTTAATACACGTTTTGGTTGATCAGGGCAAACATAAATATATGTAACAATCGAGGGTCTCACTGTTGGTGACGAGGCTCGCCCAGATGCTGAAGATCCCGGAGATGGCCATGGAGCCGCAAGCGAGCCAACGCCTGCCCCACCTGTCCAACACGAGGGTGAGAAAAGTGTCGGCCGGCAGCTCGGTCGCCGAGGCTATGGTAAAGGTCACGAACACGTCGAGCCTCAGGTTGTCGACGTTACGCACATGGCCGTCAAACACCAACGAGATGGCCATCCTGGTGTTTATACACAAGCATGTATATATACATACATGTATTTTTATTTGCCAATCATATATATATATAAAGGGTGTGCGTTTAATTTTACCAGATGACGATGAGGAGGACCGTGATGTTTCGCAGCCTCGGGCTCCGGAAGAGGTCCAGGACCGAGTACGACTTGTCGGCCTCCTCGTCCTTGCGGGCCCTCGCGCACGTGTCCTTGAAGTCCCTGTAAACGTGGTCGGGTACCTTGGTGCCGTTGATCCTCTCGAATTTGCCGAGTATCCTCAGGGCCTCGTCGACCCGGCCTTGGCTGACGAGCCACCTCGCGCTCTCCGGCACCAGCCAGGGAGCAGCCACCGCGAGTACGAGTGGCACCGAGGTCGCGACGCACGTCAGTCGCCAGTCGGCCAGGAAGTAGGCGATCCACGGCAGGGCGCACGCGGCGAAGGTGAAGAACAACGCTATCGACATGTTGGCCACGAAGGTGCGCCACTTTGGCCCCACGTACTCCAGCACTGTATGGGGTCGGACAAATCGAATATACACACGGGTCAATTAGGCACTTTTTTTTTTTTTTTTTGCTTATACTTTACGTGAGCGTTGGATGGAGCGAGAAAATAAGGGATGAAAAGTTTTTTTTTTGTTTAGTGGTACATTGAGCTGGTAGGAAAAAAAGAAATCGGTCGCACTTGTGGGTATATATACGTACGCTTTGGAGTGTTGAATGTTGATAAACTCACCTAAAATGTACATCATGGTGAAGCAGTTGTCGAAGGCGAAGCCGAACAAAAATCGGCAGAGGGCGAATTGCCAGAAGCTACCGGCAAATATGGTGGCCACGCCGGATACGAAGCCTACGAGGTTGGTGCCGACGAGGGCGGGCACGCGGCCGTACCGGTCCGCCACGTAGCCGAATATCAGTCCGCCAAAGATCGCCCCTACGAAGAATATGCTCTGGGCGGCGGTGGGCAGCCAATTGTAGTCGCAGACCCATTCTAGCTGTGGAATTTTTTTTTTTTTTTTCATTGGGTGCATTGGTACGGTGGTTACACTCATTTTTGCTATTGGGACGTTTCGCGAAAAATGGCACGTACCATGTACCATGAAAGTTTCGGGGGTCTGGGATTATTTAAATTCGTTTTTCTACGTATCCTTTTGGGCCCAATTCTATTTTCATTTTCAAGGACCCCGTGTCAATTTAAACGAAATTTTTAACAAGTTCCGAAAACGAGCATCAAACTTTCCAATTTAGATTTTTCTTTATGGATGCCTAAATTTCGAGAACCCCCGGTACAATACGTGCATTACCGCGAAATTCACCACCAAGACCCTCCACTTGATATACACGTGTAAATAGCGCAAAGTGTCGTGAACAGTGGAGGTACGTTGTACATCGGGTTGATGAACTTAACAATAGAAAGTGAAAATCCCCTGAGATTACAGTGAAAAGATAACACCTTGAAATTTGGACGTTAGCACGTAGCTGCAACGCGATATGGCTCAAACTTTCCAAAGCATCTACGGAAAACATCATTTCATTAACTGTGAATTCTCATCGGTAGTATTTTCGATGAACCTACTCACTCGGGGGCACTTAACGGTCGAGTCGTTGCATATATAAATAGCGAGGCCGAGTGCAGTTTGAGTTCAGTTGACTCCTGCACCTCAAAGTTGGTGGTCCTATACATTATTCAGATCTTGGAGGTGCATCTATACGTGGTGGTGGTGGTGCTGTGACGTACTCTCAGTAATCACTTTTCATTCCAATCTTGTTCATAATATTAGACTCTCAGTGCTCAGTTTTTAAGAAACACCTCTTTCTATATATGCATAGTGTCTCTGTAAAATTAATGTCTTCTCTCTCTCTCTCTACAATATATAACTCGATACCATTCAAATTTCTATACTCTGAAGTTAAAGCTTAGATGATTCGAGGTTCTTTGCTGTTTAACGTGATATGTGATGACATTAATCCAGGAGGCAAGTAACTACATCGACGTTCCAAAGTCGAAGGAAGTTTCCTCGTGATAGAGGGACGTGGCAGTGCACGGCCGCGTCCCTCTGAGTAACGTGTCTTGAGCTCTTCTTTTTAAATTTTCTATAGGATTAAATTGAGGGGCGCAAAAAATTTGGTGGTCACAGTCGCTTCCACAACCCTCGGACTTTTCAGCCCCCAACTCCGTGAGGCGTTATTTTTAAAAATTGGCTGTTACTATTTTGGCTATTGTGCTTTTGGTACTGACGTTGTTGCTATGACTATTGTTTCTATTGTTTTTGTTCTGTAGTATGGGGGTTTTTTTTTTTTTTTTACCACGAATGGCCATTTTTCCGGCCTCGCCTATACCATCTTTTAAGTTCGGGAGCAAGTCCTTTCGGGTACAATGTATACGCAGAAAATCTTTTTCGTCGATATTGTTTAATTGCCTAATAATTTTCGTTGGCCTCGCTGGTCCCAACAGCGATGCCCAACAATCCCATTGTACCCACCCGCAATGCTATGTCACTCTTATCAGTCAGTTCTGGCGGTGGGCGTGGCTTTTTTCTTATCTTTTTCCTTCAATTTGGTCTTCGATTTGGTGGTGAATATGTTGTATTTACTCTCCGGCGGGGGGAGAGCGTCGGGCGTGCCTTTAGCGGAGCTGTCGTTGGGAAGCCTCGGACCACACGTGCTTTCGTGCGAAAGAGGTTCCTTATATACTCAAACCAAGGATTTTTCGCCGTTTGCGGGATTGTTTTTATTTTTATTTCCGTATCAAAGTCAATAGAGCCAACATCGATTAGCCGCCTAGCGATTTTCATCCCAATCATCGGTCTTTTCCTTTCGTTTCCTTTTGATTTTTTTTTTCCTTTTCTTCTTTATCGTTTTAGTCACCCAAAACACCGTTGTAGACACCCAATACGACATTGAGGTAAGAAGCTGTTTATTTCGTACGTTAAAAATCATGAAAAGTGATAGATTAAAGTTTTTAATTTAATTGTGATTTTTTTTTTTTTTCAGCACAACAAACTGTGTGTTAAATTAGTATCTGGAGACTGATGTGAAAACAAAACAAGTCCATCTGTAAGTTACATATTTTTAAATACAATATACTTGAAAAAATTTTAACTGCGTAAGCAAAAAAATTCAAGAAGCTGGAGGACCATAGAGAACTCTTAAAAAAATCAGGGAAACAAGAGAAAATGTGCAAATGCAGTTTATTGTAGAAAAATGTCACCGAGTTGGATAAAGAGGTGATTTACGAATTTTCCTACATATCTTCATATTTGATTCATTTTTTTTTTTTTACAAAAACTTTTTTTTGTATTTTTTCAGTTACCTAATTTTTCCAACTTGAGAGCGAGAATGGACGAGTTCAATTTTATTAAACTCAATTCAGAATATACCAACTAGCTTGCAAAATATTCGCACTTTATTCGTACCTATTAGTTCGCTTGGACGCACTAGACATTTTTAATCACTTGAAAATTCAACTTGTTGCTTTTGTACATTTAATTTGTATAATAATCTCAAATAAATATTCACTTTTCTCACAAAATATGTCCACCCAATCTACATGTCTATGAAAAGAACAAAAAAAAATCTTACGCAGAAAATAACTAGGGCACAGCTTCGACCACTGGATTATTCTGGAGAGCAGATCCATAGACAGATACACGTGTTTGAAAAAGGGGAAAAAAAAATATATATATTTAGGAGAGCCCTGGCTTTTCTCTTCTAATGAACTTACAAAACCAAAAAAAAATCACTTGCCGGACAATCAAATCAATGGGAAGAAGAAAAAAAGTTGTTTTTTTTTTTCCAAACGCAAGAGGTAAAATAATTGATTCCATCTCATTGAGATCAGGAGGGGCTTAAGAAGAAAAAAAAAAAAAGTGTTGGTATACTCGGTCGAGGTAGTGTATAGATGTGTATACCATCGGAGACGCGCAGTGCGGGAAATTACCTCGGTGGCGACGGTCGGGTAGGGTATGACCGTGAAATTGAATTCCCAGCCGTGATCGCACTTCTTAGTGGGCCAATCGGGATCGGCCGCTTCGAGCCCTCGTCGCAGCACGTCCGTGTAGTTGACGTCGTACATTTCGCACCTGGACTTGCCATTACCGTAGCGAGCTGGTGGTATTGCCAGGGCTAATCTGCAATTTGTCATTATTAATGGTTTTGATTGTTTTCGCTGATGTTAAAATTTAATACATTAGATAGATGTATCTTTAACAGAGTCAAAGTTGAACTTTTTTTTTTTTTTTTTTTTTTGGAACTTCTAAAAAATAACCATTAAAAAGGAACTATTCAAAGGCATTTTTTCCATCGTTTTTGTGTGTTTTCAATACTTTCTCATCATCGTTATTAGGAATTTTTACAACATTTTTTTTCTTCTACGGACAATAAATAAAGATATACCTTTTTAAAGTAAAATAGATTTTTTACTTTTATTCGTCCGAAAAAATAGTAATTTAATTATTATATCGTGACCCAAAACACGAAACTTAATTTTTCAGAGTCGTACAACGTCAATTGAAAATTGAGTGCAACAATAAATGTTAAAACTTTGTCCCATATACTGAAATATTAATTTTTTTTGCCACTTGTTACAGCAGGTCACATTAACCAACATATTTTACTCTTGCAACAAATAGAAAAAAGAAAAAAAAAAATACACTCGGTGTCAAATCGTTTCGATACTCATAGGCCACATTAAATTTCTCCGGCAAAGGACAGGAAACGTATACATGTGTACACTATACCATCGACGCGGAAGAAGCGGAGAAACAAAGGACCCAGCATTAAAAGGACAAACTCACCGTTTGTAACAACAACTTCTTTATGTAAAATAAATAAAATAAATAAAATAAATAAAAATACCATGTAAGCACATACAATGACGGCGTCGCGGAGCCTTGGGATACTCGAGCGTGTATATATATGCACGTACAAAAAGCTGCGAGTGTTGGTTACACAACGGAATCGATTAACATTGCCTTGGCGGTATTACGCGCTCCGCGAAAGGCGTGATCCAGTGACTGTACGGAGGACGAGTGAAAAAAAATAAACAGCCGAGATTGACCGATTGCGCTCCGGTGCGTGGGAAAATTCAAAAAGACGCATGCACGAGGTCGTCCCCGGATAAGAGATGCGTGTTTAATACAACACATGTGTATACATGCAGAGGCTCGAAATGACAGATATTGTGTGAAAATGCATATACTTATCAGGCCTGAGAAATCTAACGATAATGAGCTTCTGATTAAATTGTACTCTCGAGTAACACGCCAAACTATTGTCCACTTGCGTTTTCTTCTCAAATAATTGCTTATGAAACAACGATGCGCGTACAGTTACAGCAAAATCATCCTAATGAAAAAATAAATAAATAAATCGCAACGCGAACTCAGCGAGCGATGAAACACGAGAGTGGAAGTAGGTCGTAAGCTCGGGCTCGTTATAAAAATTGAAAAATGAATCTATAAAAAAAGAAATTAATATGCATGTGTGTGCTATTGCGCAACAGAAGTAACGAAAGAGGCCAGCGCCGGTATTTCTCAGCCCGAGAGCGTGGACGGAAAGAAGAAGAGGAGAGAGCGAGCGATTAATCAGCGACGATGAAAAGTATATATATACGAGAGGGAGAGAAAAAAAAGTCACTATACGTCGATGCACATCTCTCCGAGCTCTTCCTCGTTTTGTTGTATCGCATTAACTGATTAATGGAAAAGTCGTAAGGAAAAAAAAAAAATTTGATGAAAGAAGGTGCGAGAGCACATAGAACGGTATACACACATATATATATATATATCACTCTGCATCGTCGTTTATCACTTTCTACATTAGGTGTAGGTGACACCTGAGTTATACCTTTTCCTGCGTCTTCTTTTTTTCCTCTAACTCGGCTCATGTTTGGATCGACACGCCTCCGTGATAAAAAGATATTTTACCTTCCTTTTTTTTTAGTCGGTACATTGAAGACGTGGTACAAAGAAAAAGAATTTTGATCCATCCGATAATTTATCATCAAAATACTTGGATTAATTTAAAATCAATGGGAAATATTGAGGTGTTTGAATGACACTCGTTCGGTTTAATTTGAGAAAACGCACCGTGCACTCGCGATTTATCGTTCATCCCGTCGATTACGCAAAGTATACACTCGTCGATTACCATCACCCATTTATCTTTCGCGCACGTATACCGCATATTATATATTTAACGTGTGATTAAATAGTTTCGTTTAGCCTAAAGTTGAGTGACACCCGAACGAAAATGAGACAATCGCAAGACTAGGAAATTCAAATCAACATGAACATTTTTTTTCTTGATTGTAATATTAAGACTTAACTTGAATGACTACGCCGACAAAAAATGTAAAGTTACGAAATACACTTTTTTTCTTGATTGCCAATGAACTTGAAAATAGCAATTAGCGATACTTCAACTTTGTTTTATTTTTTGTTTTATTAGGTTTTCTAAATAAAGCACGTACGTCCGAGTTTTTTTTTTTTTATACTAGTACCTCCTTTACCAGGATGACAATGGGATCGTTCGTGCGTACAATGTCAGAGGACTACGTGAAAACTGCGTGTACCAATATCGCGATAGTGTGACTATAGTTAATTTTTTTTTTTTTTTTTTTTTTCATTCCATCTTAAATACACACACGTTGGCTTTGAAAGTCGGTGTTAAATCGACCACGTACAGCTAATTCATCGTACACATACCTACAAACGCAGCGCTCGGTATAAATTATCCACTTGCAAGTTCAATTCCCCGTTCGACTAATAAGTAATAGCCTGTACATATGGATCGATAGCGTGTGGTTGGTTGTATATAAATATATGTACAGCCGTAGATTGTACATAGTGTTGTTGCATATATATGTATGAAAGGAAATTGCGAAATGTCATTGTAATCATTGTTGCGAATTAGATGTGTATCTGCGAGATTCCAGTTAAATTACAATATATCGTTGATTTCCACGGTTCTCGGAAAATCGATTGATTTTCATTTAATTTGCAAAATCAAAGTATATTCACTGATGTGTCGAGTGGATCGAGTAGGAAAGTTATCAAAACTAAGAGTAAATAGACATATAAATTCGGGCAATACAAATGAAAGGATGTACAAGTGTATATATAACTCCACTCTCGAGGAAATCAAGGAAAGTAATTACTCGAACGAGAAACACGTACATAATTTATGCATACAATGAAAGTAACGAGCAATGCACAACACGCTTCTTTGGAAATCAGCCCGACCGGCTTGGCAAATGGAATAAACTTACCGGGAGGTGCGCGTGACTGCATGATACATATAGTCTTAGAAATATATACTCTGATACAGAGTATCGGGTAACCTCGAGCTGAATGTTCCTTTTTTTTTTTTTTTATAATTAGCGCAAAGGTACTTTCCAGCTGCGGTTTTTTACGTGCTCTTTTTGGGTTGTTGCCAACAGGATCTTGTACCTTTATAGGCTTTTTCTTTTTTTTTTTTTTTCAATTCGCGTGCGAAGATTTTATCCATTTGTTTGGATGAGGTAATGTTTTATTTTTTTGCACGAATAAAAAAAACAAGTCATTCATCAAAGGTCTATCCATTTGGAACACGCAATTGCAGAAAAATTTCTCAAAGTTAAATTAATATTCAAATAAAATGATAATTCAATGTTGTGCGCATTATTTTATGAAAAACCTGTTTATTAAAATATACAAGTTTTTTTAATTAATCGTCGTTTGCTCATGTAATCATGAATACGCGTCTGTACAATTTAATCTCTCGGTTCTGACGTAGAAAAAAAAAAATTTCATTTTGTAAATGCACAGTAAGAAACTCCGGTCCGACATTCTCGTGCATCGAAATGATAATTTGCGTCTGCAATTTTGGGGGGCAAGCATTTGCCGAGTCACTCGGAAAAACCTCCTGTACTTTTCGTAATTGTTCGGCAACTGAAAATCGTATCCCTAGATTGATGCGTCAGGTATTGCACTGTCATTTTCTGGCTACGAATGAAAACTCGCGGTTATTGCTCAGAGATTCTGCAAAATTACGAAGGCCCGATTCGTATGAATACCGAGCGAATTATAATAAGAAATTCTATACTAATTGTTAAAAAAAAAAAAAAAAAAAACTGCACAGTCGAGCTCCTGGAATATTCATAAACCAGCATCTCTTACCAGAGTTGGGCAACTATATCGTTGGATCGGTACGAGATCGTCAATTAAACCCACAGTCTCCCACGTACTCTTGCCTCGCGAGGGTTATCATTACACCGTTTTAACTGAGATCCAGCGCACAGCTGTTTAACCCAATTTTCTTCAACAAAAAAAAAAACATCTGATGATTATAAATTTTCGCACAACAAAAAAACAACAAGCAGTTTCTTCCTTTCTACTAATTGCCCGGTTAACAAGAGAAAGAGAGGGGGGGATAAGTAAGCAATCGCGATGAGGAAGGACATCGTCGTTAATATTGTCATTACGCGCTTAAGGAGAGCCCGTAGATCGGCGGCTCAAACGGACCTTGAGTAAGTCCGCGCTTATTTCTTTTACTGCTGCTTTGTCGCCTTTTATACATGCATTTATATCTATGCTTCGGCACTCTGTACTATTTTTTTTTTTTTCTTTTTTTTTTTCTTCTTCGAACCTAGTGCTATGGATAATATGGTGCGTGTGGTTTTTCAAGTGTGACGAATCGGCTGGTTTTGGATCCCCACTTGGTTGAGGACGTATCCCAGTCGACTGTACTTTTTTTATTGGATAAATTTTACAGTTTTTGTGGACTACCATTTTTTTTTTTCATCTAAAGTTTATGTAATCTACGCGGTACAAAAAAAAATGAAATAAAATAAATCTTTTAATATTGTGAAACATTACAGAGTAAGCGTTTGTAATAACAAATTGCATCGTTGATAATAATTTATATATAGGTCATAAAAAAATCCTTCGTATAAGCAGCATATTTTTTTTATCGAACAAATCATAAACTTATTTACATAACTCAAGAGCAAAACGGCAATCATAATGAAATAATTTATGATAAATCAATCATGAAATATAGTATGAAAATAATTCAATAAATCAACGATAAAAAAGTATAAAAGCATTTTAAAAAAATAAATAAGTAAATAAAAATAAACGGTATTGTACTATTCTTCGAAATGCGTAGTGAAAAGAAAATCTCTCGTCGATTCTGGAGCGGAAGATTTGGTAACGCGGGCTACGGATGTATCATCTTCCCCATAATTGCAAAGTTATTCTGTCCACTGTATCGTTCGTTGTTACAATAAATACTTTTGAAAAGATTTTCTCCGAAGTGAGCTTATTAAATGCGTATACGAGAAAAATTCCAAAAGAATACTTTCGATGAGGTCGAGATTTCGCACAACACAAGTGACGCGCGCGAATGACCTGTTGATTAGGCACGTGCGTACGACGCTCCTTATTGACGATATTTTCACTCAATAAGGACACGAGATGTAAATCCCCCTCTCACTCTCTTTATGTTAAATTAGCAAAGAAAAGATGAAAATTTAAATATTTCCCACGTGTTAGCGTCATGTCGATCCAAGCGCTTGTTTGACAAATGTATTATCAGCGCATTGTTTTTTATTTGCTCGACTGCCTCACGAGGCGAAGTAAGCGCATTCTTGGGATGAGAGTGTTTCGCAATCGACTCGCTTAAAGCTGCTGACATTACTTATTCTAGTGCAAGTTCGCAAGAAGTGCCCTGATCATTGAGTAATATTAGATTCTAAGGAACGAGATATTTGCATTATTATGTTTATATATATATAAAATAAAAAAACTGTAGCACATGTATACGCGTGAATGACAAAACTTGTTGATTTACTCTTATGAATAATTGAAACTGCTGCCGCCACTAAAAAAATGGATGTTTAATCACAAATTTACTGTATCATACTTAAGAAAGGTCAAGCGAACGGGAGAATTTGGAATTTTAGATCGATCGCCGATTGATTCCGGAAGGCGATCGCTGATTCGTGAAAAACAGAACGATAATATATAAACACATATAGGAGTCAGGGTCATTTTTTGAAGTATAGTGAAATTAGGCTGACTTTTTTTTAACATTACGTTGCTGTCGTTGGCGTCACTCTGTAGCCACCACAATTCCTCTTATTGGATAAATCGTCAGTTGCTTGCGAATAATTTTTACATCTTTTTATCTCGGTGCAATATTTATAATAATTAGCACGCGAGCACAAGTTCAGTCATTAAAATATGCAACCTAATTTTTTTTTTTTTTTTTTTTTTTATTGCTCCTCGTGCGTAACAAAAACAGAGAGTTTTTTTTTTTGCTTCGTAGACGACAGATAATTTTTATATCTTCTCGTAATAATAAACGAGGATCGGTGGTCAGTTTTTATTTTTAAATCGCTTATCTACGTGTGAAGCTATCATGATTTAACATTACCGTAGATGTGATATTGCATTCAACGTTTGAGATAATCACACGTGATAAATATTCATAGGGGGATAATTATGTAAAAGAAAACAAATCGAAACTATGTCGGGAAAGATATAAAGATCGCTAAAGGATCGGTACTTGGAAAGTAAAGAAATAAATAAATAAAATAAATATTAATAGGAAGGTTTACTTTGACATGTTGGCAAGACGAGAATTGAAGTTTTTTTTCGCGTTACTTTGATTCGTAAATAATTAAACTTTAGTTTGTTTAGAACTAACGAAGTAATTGGTCATTTCAGAGAGTATGACAAATAAGTGATTCAACGGAAGATCGGCAATTAACAATTTTCCAAATAACTTTCAGATCCGTATGTGATGTCAAATACCGGTAATCTCTTGTACAAGAGAACATGAAGATCCCTTGGAAAAAAAAAAAAATAAATATAAATAAAGATCTGACCTTCTTTCAACCGGCAGGTCCACGAGTTCGGGCACTCGACACCAGTGCTCCTCGGGCACGAGGGTGATGAATATCTGCGAGAAGTAAACCCAAGCAACGTAGAAGGCGAATGGCACCATCAGCACGAACAGTATCTTCTGGTACTTGCCGAACTCCCCAACGTAGGGCAACAGATCGTCGAAATCCACATCCTTGCCGGCATTCCTGTCCCCGTTGCCCGTCCTCGGCGCGAGCTCGGCTTTCCCCCGCACTTGTTCCCCACTAGATCCCACGACCACACCCCCGATGGGATCGGTATCTTCCTGCTGATGCGCCCGATCCCCGGCCTTGGCGCTGAACTGCTCCTGCGGTGGCATGATCCCGGATTTCTTCGCTCAATCGGCGCGCACCTACCGATACCGATTTCAACACTTTGCAACCCCTGGGGGCACGTTTGGCATGCCTCCCCAGAGAAGGGGTCGTGTATAATATACCGTGTGATCGAACGAGCCCGCGAGCCAGCCAAGACAATGAGCCGAACTGGAAAGGCCGGCAGGTGCTCGGTGCACCCATATTATATACGTACCTTGTAACGCGGCGCGTAGAAAATCTCTCTTCGGCTGCGCTACTGTTGCCGCTACCGCGTCGGGATCCCCTCCTGTAGCACTATACTTATTGGCTCCTGTTTGATTTTTCCCCCCCGTTTGCTGTGACAGAGGACGGCACACATACGCATATGTATAGCCGTTTGTTCGTACAGCTTATCCACCTGTTTTGATGTTACTTTACGTATGTCTGCTCTCTTGTGTATTTCAAGTGTACGAGGAGGCCCCGATGGGTGGTTGACCAAAATTGAGGTCTTAAGATCCTCACAGTGGTATATAATAAAAAATATGCCTAAATATATCGTCAGTGAGAAATGCAGGAATATTAAGTAAAAAAAAAAAAAACAAATACATGTACAATCGAGGATTCTCGGTTTACAATGGAAATTCGAGAAGCAGTGCTATGTGTATAAAAAATGACCGCTACCTGCCCCAACTTGGTAATGTAGAACACCTCGTGCAGGTATTGCACATGCATGTACAGAGAGCTATACTCGTTTACAAGACGGTAGTAATATCATGCTCCAAAATAAATATACTTGAGAAGTTGCGGGCTAAGTTGCATTAAACAAATACTGCATAATGGCTTAAGGATTAAAATGGCTATTGAGAAATGATCGATATGGCGATTGCAGTGGTCATTTTTTATAACGATACGTTTCAATGATTGTACATTTGCGATTGATGGCACAGCCGACTCGAGTGATGGATGAAGACGCCCTCCGGTGGATCAAAACTACCTGCATCGACGTGTGTCATTTACAAAAACAGATTGCAAGTAGCCCGCATCCGCCTACGAGAAAATAGAGGCTATACAGGCTCCAAGTCCATGATTCACTCACTTTTTTTGTCCTTTCTCACCCACAACACTCACTCTTGTAACATACGTGGATATACGCAAGAATATAATATACTTCTGGTAAACTTACAATACTTATGTTGCTTGTATAATATACAGACACCTGCGAGAGAGCGCACGTATTTTATAGCATATCCGTCAACGTACAAGTATATAATATTATATTTTCACGCGCGGCTCTTTCCCTTTCATTTGTTCGTGCGATTTATACAAGTATAATTAGTACCTGGCTGTGTTACTGCAGGCTAATGCACGGTACAGCGAGTGTTTATTGTACATATACTACTGACTTGTTGCAATGGGTCAGGAACATATTTTCAATTATGCCCATTGAACACCAGCACGTGACTATGTGTTTTTCTTCTTTTTTTTTTTTCTAATTCCTTTTCAAAACAAATACATTATTCGAATGAGCAAAGAAATATTGCAGTACCAATGTTGACAGCACTGCTAAACGATTGATTTTTAATTACTCAAGCTCTTAATGATGAATAATAACGCCAATATGACGGATAAAAGCTATATTGAGGCGCGTACAAATTGATGTCTTTGGCGAGTAAAAGTGGAATGCCTTGGCTGGTATCACTTCAAGGACAATCAAATTCAATTCCACCGCGTTGTATCGACAAATCTATGTGTGTGTGTGTGTGTGTGTGTGTATATTTTTCCAACATACATCATTATCGTATGAGCTACTAATTTTCAAAGCACAAATAATTTTCATCAATCGAAACGATGACAAACTATGTTTGGAATATCTATAAGCGTGAATGAACACTTTTATCGTGTATGCGCTGAAATTAAGGAATATTTCAAATGCTGATCGGTATTTAATTACAATATTTTGAAATTGTTTTATTCCGGGCTGGTGAAAGACTTCACTGATCGCCATTTGGTATGTATCCACTCAACGGCCTCACCACCTCGTCAAGTTTATTGTCGATCCTTGAACTTGATGGAATTTCCCGTTTAATTTTCATTTCAGCCATAAACAATTTTCGTCGTACTCATCGAAAATACATTTAACAATGTCAATTTTTTTATTATTATTATTTTTTTTTTTTTATTCTTACCCTCGCGTAATTGGCCTACTTTGTAACAAATAGACATGTTCATATACGATGTACAAATTATGATTTATACGTACAAACGTATCCGCAATCGCTGAGAATTAAAAAAAGAAATGCTCATGTATGCATGCGTAGTTCGACGGAAATAGCTGTACCAACCATTTACCGGATCAATGAATCGCTCTTACATTTGTGGAACGTATTTCAGTGAAATTATAATTTTCTCTTTTTTTTCCACGATAACCAGTAGGTACATGCAATCCCAAACATCAAATTGTATCAAATTCCGTAGTCATTTTTCTTTACGTGACGCAATTGTGAGCATAAAAAAAAAAAATTGCAACGTAGTAATATCAAAGGATGATGATAATAATAATAGTCGGTCATGAGAGATGTTGGAGAAGAAAAAATTCGATTCATCTCTGGACGCGCGATATCTCAATTACTCATCGCATAAAAATTTTCATGTCTCATCAAGGCTCTTTGTGCATATTATTATGCATTGGCGTTGAGAAATAATTTTCTTTTTTTTTTTTTTTTTCTTTAAGCATTTCTGACATAAAATTGGATGTACGTAAAATCAATTGAAAAGCTCTCAGGGAACGCCACGTGTTACACATTATAACGAAGAGACAAATTCTTTCTCTATCCTCTCGAGCCTCATTAAGATTTCATAAAAAAAAAAAATAGGTCAATGATTTTTCCAACTCTATTTTCCTTATTTTTACCCAACACCTGCGCACAAAGAGCGGCAAGTCGAGCAGAAAGATGCGTCGGAGTCTGACAAGGGCACGGATGAATTTTCCAAGCTCGAGCGCGCACCTGCACGATGACGTACATGGTTCCTTCTCTTTTTTTTTTTTTTTTTCTTTTTTTTCCTCCTCCGTGGCAATCGTTCTTGACACGTGGATACTAATGGTTCGTTTTTTCCATGAAAGCTTTTGATGAGGGGAATACAACGAAAAGGATGGCTTTTCCACGGACGAAACAAGTTGAATCGTTGCATCACTTCCCGATGAATTTCAATGATCTGATTGAATTGTTAAATGAATTTTTTGCCAAAAATAACAGATTTGAGTTGCATACGTTAAAAAAATAAAAGATGGATTTGTTGTCGATAGCTGATGAAACTTCTTATTAGATTGTACTGTCTTCTTAACATACGTTAGGTACATAAAATGTTGTGCAAATGGAATGAGAGTTCCTTGTGATTTTGTTTACTTGAAACTTAATAGAAAACAACAAAGAACTTTCATATTTTTAAAACATTAGAAAAAAAAAAATTATTTCGTTTCAGTTGGAGAGAAAACTTCAAGTTACACGTTAGCATACACTTAATCGATGGCTAGTTCTCAATTAGGAAGTCCATCAATCATCTTTTTATATTCACAGGGTTGCCTAACTATTGTAAAAATTAATTACAAGTCGATAAATTTATTTTTGAGACAACCTGTCGTCTAACTTTCAGGTAATTGTACATTTAAGTTTATTTCACTCAGACTTTTAATACATAATAAATTGGATTAACATTTTTTATATTAAAAATGCATTTAATGCGCTCTCGGTAACTTTAACTTTTTTTATTTCTGTCAAAGCGACGTTAGATTTTATTACAATACATTGTAAGATCAATCCTCGATAAGCACAGGGAGAATAAATAAGTAAAGTTTATAAAGGACTGATAATTTTTTTTTGCACTTCAGAATATCTACTTAAATTTTGAAGACACAAAAATTATTTTAAAATTTCCTTCATAATTTGAAATGAATATCGGACCTCTAATATTAAACTTCCAGCTGAGAAACAGTAATTAATTTTACGTTCGAGCATCGATATGAAGCTGTGTACATGTAAATACATATGTAGCTATACGAGAAAATAGTTATCGATGTGACAGTACAGACACGAGTTTCCTTGGACGTCTGCTCGAGAGATATCGCGTGATTGCTCGTTCTAGTTTTATAGCCTAGTTAAAAAAAAAAAAAAAATTTACCATCCATTCATTGATTGAATTAATTTTTATCGATTATAAATAACAGGGTTTATTTTGCACAAGGAAATTGATTATGTCGACGTTCATTGGTGAAGGTGATTTTCTTAAAATATACATTTTACTTGTTTAAAGGCATTATTCTGCGATTTTCAAGTTCAGCGGAAACAAAATTGACTATTTTTAGAGCGGAATTTGATTAATTAAGCTGTAGAGGACCAATAGACCTCGTCTTATGATGCCTCGCATCGTTACAATATTTCAATTCAATTTTATGTATGAAATTAAGTATTAGTTCGCAATGCAAACGGTTTATCATTAAAACTTTGGTTTCGTTTGTTCTAAATTTAACGTAAAATAATGTCAGGTGCATGTATTTAAGTAACAAATCGACCGTCGCCACTATTTCGGGCAATGGTATCCAGAACGAGTCATTTGATTGAATTAGTTTCAATTACCACTGGGGTCACGAAAGACAGTCAAAATTTTTCCACTCGAAACAATCTTATTCATGCGTTGATAATTATTTGTATCGTTTACTGAAAAATCAAACAAACATTGATTTATGTTTTAAATATCATTAAAGACCGATACAAGTGTAATCTTTGAAACCTTAGCGAACAAGAAAGCCTTAATTGTTTGACAATCAACTGTCATTAAAAAACAACTTTTCACGGCAACACGTGTAGGTAAGTACCCTGTGAACGAGCGCGAGAGTCTACACTATGTATAATTAATCATGTTTCAAGTGACGTCAGTCGCACACGGTGGACTTCGCAATGCGCGTTGTAGTATACGTACACGATGGTTTTAATACACGATAGTTTCATAATAATTTTGCTCGAAATAACAAACGGTAAGCCATAAAAATATGTAAAGTATTTTCAAATAGTCCGAGAGCGCTGTACCATTTTTTTTTCTTTTTTAATTTTTTTGTTTTTAACAATTAAAATAAATATAGTACAGCTTGACCTGTATTTATTTCCCTAAAAAGTTTTCCACTAAAATTTTCCGTTAAATTCCGAGTATCGTCACTTTAAACGTTACAACCAGGATTATCGCCGGCAAACTAAACATTTTCAAACTAATTTATACAAATCATTTTCCTTT